ACAGTAGGCTTTCTACCTTTTAGAATCTCATATGGAGTTTGATCGGTTTTGGGTCTAAGGTAGACTCTATTGATTATGTGGCATGCAGTATTAACAGCTTCTCCCCAAAAATGTAAGGCTAGCCCCTTGTCATGAAGCATGGCTCTAGCCATGTCCTAAAGAACACGATTCTTCCTTTCAACCACCCCATTTTGTTGAGGAGTGATAGGGGAAGAGAACTCATGCAGTATCCCTTCATCCATGCAGAAGCTCTCAAGATTGAAATTTTCAAACTCTTTTCCATGATCACTTCGCATTCTGGACACTTTGTGATTGAGTTCATTACTAAGCCGTTTACACAAAGATTTTATAAGGTCACATGCATCAGATTTTTCCCTAAGCAATTCTACCCATGTGAACCTCGAGAAATCATCTACCACAACCAGAATATATCGCTTACCTCCTAGACTCTCAGTCCTAGATGGTCCCATTAAATCCATGTGTATCAATTCCAGGGGTCTTTTGGTCAAAATCTTAGAAGTCTTTTTATGGATTCCTTTAATTTGTTTACCCAGTTGACATGGTCCACACACAACATTTTCACTAGGACCTATTTTAGGCAAACCATCTACCAACTCCTTTTTAGCCAGTTGTACTAGACTCTTATAGTTTAAATGGCCCAATCTTTTATGCCAGAGTTCACTCACATCAATTTTTACACTCCTACACACATAGTTAGAATTAGGTAGGACTCCATAACAGTTATCAGTCGTTCTAACCCCTTCAAGTACCACCCCACCGAATGAATCATACACGGTACATCTCTTTTCCACAAAGCTAACCTCAAAATCAGCATCACAAATCTGACTAAAACTTAACAAGTTCGACTTTAAACCTTCCACATAAAGCACATTTGAGGTCACAGGTAATCCATGTATTTGTACAGTATCTTTGCCAAGAATAGGTGCAGAGCCCCCATCTCCAAAGGTAATCATACCCCCATTGCATTCATCAAGAGTAGTGAATAAAGCCTTGTTACCACACATATGCCTAAAACAAGCACTATCAAGGTACCACATATTGAAATCTTGGGCTTTTAATGCAACATGAGCAACATAGCAATTTACCTGACCTGAAAGTCCAGCTAGATCCTCTTTTTTAACCCAAACTTTCTTAGATGACGTGGTACTCCTAGTCAGCCTAGCAAGCATCTCAGTCAAATGACTAACCTGATTAGTCAGAAAACTGACCTGACTTGGAATATTCTGATTTCTACGCTCATTGCCTAACTTATAACATCTAGGCCTAGTGTGTCCTAGAACTCCACAGTGGTGACAGGTGGGAATGAACCTATGCTCAAAGGTACGTGTCTGTGGGTGTTTGGGCATAAAATTTCTACGTGATTGATGACTTTGTTCCCTCGAAACATTCTTACCCTTATTTGGACTGTTGACAGCGTTAGACTTCCTGGAGGCAGAAATGAATACAGTTTTAGATGGATCAGCACCATGTGTATTACCCTCAACACATCCTAGACCTTTCCTATCTCCCGTAGGCTTATTCATTCCCAAAATATCATCCAATTTCTTAGTTCCACTTATGAAAGTCTGAAGATGAGCATTAGATTTCTCCAATTCACTAGTTAATGTCTTAACCTTGTCTTCCAACTTCTCATTGACACATTTTAACTCACTGATACTCTTAAGTGAATTCTGAATATTACTAGCATGTCTCTCTTTTTCTCTTTCAAGTTCATCAACCTTTTTGAGTAGGGCTTTATTGATCTTTTTGATTTTAAGACTCTCCTTGAACAAGAGTTGATAGGCCTCATGTATGTCTATGTCATCCTCATCCTCATTACTAGAATTATTGTTGTAAAGTTCATCATCAACCTTGTCACTCTCCTTATCAGATTCACTCTTAATAGTTGACACAAAAGCCATATAGTTCTCTTCATCTTCACTACTAGATGACTCCTGCCTGTCACTGGTCTCAGACTCGTTATCAGTAAGTGAAACAACTACGGCCTTACCCTACACTTTTTTTTTATTCTTCTTATTATAACTAGGGCACTCATTCCTATAGTGACCTATACCTTGACATTTATGGCACCTAACCAAACGTGGTTTATCACTAGAACTTTTATTGTTAAACCTTTCAGTTTTTTCTTTTGAGAATCTGCTAGGGACTCCACTTTTTCTATCATGAGGCTTTTTCCTATTCTTGAGAGCCTTTTGAAATTTCTTCACATAGTAACCAATTTCATCGTCCCTCAGAGACTCAGTATTGGAAGATTCATCCTCTTTGATGGATTTTAAAGCAATGGACTTTCCTTTCTTAGGTTGTGTGATAGTGAGTTCATAAGTTTGCAAGGATCCTACAAGTTCTTCAATTTTAACTTTATCTAGATCCTTACTTTCCTCAATGGCAGTAACTTTAGGCCTAAATCTCTCGAGTAAGGACCTAAGTACTTTTCTAACAATTTTAGACTCGGGAATTTTCTCGCCTAAATTGAAACTAGAATTAACAATATCATTCAATTTTGCATAAAATTCATCAAAGGTTTTGTCATCTTTCATCCTCACTTCTTCAAACCTAGAAGCTAGCATTTGTAATTTCGAGTTCTTTACCATTTTAGTTCCCTCATGTGTAGTTTCAAGAATATCCCACACCTCTTTAGCAGTTTTACACATTGACACTCTCCTAAACTCTTCGGGAGACACGGCCATAAACAAGGTATGAAGTCCCTTGCTATTCTAATTACACTCAGCTATCTCATCCTTAGTCCACAGTGATATATCGGTAAGGTTAACAGTTCCTGATACGATAGTGGAGGGAGGTTTCCAGCCATTTTGCACACTCAACCAAACATGCTCATCTAAGGACTTAAGAAATGCACGCATTCTAACCTTCCAGTAAGCATAATTACTTCCGTCAAAGTATGGAGGTACAGAAAGTGATTGACTCATCTAGACAACTATGGGTCAGGACTCGAGATTTGGCTCTGATACCACTTGAAAAGGCTATAATTCGACCCAACCAACACCTAGAGGGGGGTGAATAGGGGACTATGCGGAATTTAACAATTTAATTAAGTTATGCAACAAGTCACATAAATTAAACATTGTCCAGATTCATTCACATGATTTAACTACCTATATTGAATTGCCGGTTGAATTGAAATTGACAGAAAGCAATAAATAACACAAAAATTGTTGACGGAGAAAACCCAACTGGGTAAAAACTCCGGGTACAAGCCAGTAGGGATTCACTATAGAAGACTTCAACTTACAGTACGTCAGACATGACTGTATCTAACAACACTCTGACCTCCTTACTGTATCAACCAAAGCTCTCATGGATTTTGCAGATCTGTGCCAAAATCCTAGCCTTGTATTTCTTCTATTTTCCGTAAATCAACAAGAACTCCAGTTCTTCAATCAATCTCCTTCCCGGATCTTCAATCAACTGATCTTCTGGAAGTAGTGAGGATTTTTTTATAGGTGTTTTGTTTGAAAAGGTGTTTGATGTTTTTTTTTTTTTTTCAATAAATCATATGGTGAAGAGTTTTTCAATTTATCCTTTGGTAGAGAGGAAAATATTGTGCTATGTGTTTTGCCAAAGGTTGTTAATGAAAAGCGAAATTTTTGTTTATATAGTAGGTCGTTTGGTAGTATGGAGCGTTTAAAATTCACGAGGAAGGAAAATTACCAAACGCCGGATGATACTGTCGCTCGAGCGAAGTGCTGGCGAAACTCTAGCGACGCACTCTCGCTTGAGCGAAGTGGTGGCGAAACTCCAGCGACGCAAGTTCTGTTATTTAGGCTTGAGCGAGGTCAAGACGAAACTCTAGCACCAATCTTGCGCCATTTTCATCTTCAAAGCATCCAACTTTACCCTAGACCTATACATTAATTATTGCGAAATTGCAACACAAGTCCCTGCACTTTTAGACATTGACAAATTGGTCCTTGACTTTACAAACTCGACAAATTAGTCCTTTTGGTCACAGATTGCCAATTACAACATTTTCCTAACACCCTCCTTTACCACCCGTATCTTGAGCATAAGCCTTCTGTAGATTAATTTTCAAGGTGCTAATCATTTTCTCATTGTAATTTGCCCGTTGCTGCCAAGCATTGGCCTCTAAAGAAAATCGTTTCATTAGCAACTTAAGCTCCATATTCTTCTTTTTGATGCCTTCTACTTCTGCTTCTTTCCCCCGGAGTATTTGCAGGATTTTATTTTCAACATATGAGACCGTCAGTAGCTGGGTTGATCGAACCTTTTCTAAAATAGTTTGCCTCAATTGCTCGCCCTAAAAAGCACGAAAAACTTAAAGATATTCAATTACACAGAATTAATTGGGCATGCTAACATGAAATATGAAAAGGAGTTTCCAGCTTAGTTATCTGCATGAGAAAGATAATATTAGATGTTAAATCACTACTCCATGTTAAACATGATACCAATGCCATTATCCAAACCCAGAAATTGCACGTCTTCATGACAAATCCAGCAACCCAAATAAGATTAGAAACATAGCACGGTGGCAATACTCGAACGTGCAAACCCATGGATTAAATGGACAGGCCAATATGAACGTCATCTTAAATTGCAGTCAATCAACAGCAGCTAAAATTAAAGATGAAACGACTTGTAACAATTTTCCATTCACAGAAGTGAATAAATCAAAAGGTCGTCTAATTTAAAACTCCAATAATGACATCCTTCTCTCTCGATTGACACCTCATGGCAAGCCATGCTTTCACATCCCACAGTCAATTTGCACCAAAGATGAATGAATATCCATAAAAAGACATCTTCAAATGACAACATTATGCTAAGGTCCCTTAAAAGGCCTACCAAAAACCTCTCAATCAATCTGTGAGAAATGCCGTTATTTATAAGTAAAGACAACATATTTTAAGACTATGCAGTTTCCGATTTCATGCAATACAAGAAATAGTTTCCAATTGCAATAACACGAGTTAACAAAAATATATAAACACCACCAGAGATAATCAGAAAAAGAATTCCCTTAAAAGCTTCACTCTCCAATTTCAAGTTTGTACTGAGACATTTAAAAGCACATGCAGACATTTATATAGCTCATCAAAGCAAAATTTCTACATCCCAATGTACAATATTTAGATAATGAAAAATAAAATTAAAAAAATATTAACATTTCTTTGACACAAAATAAATAAAAATGTAGAACTGAAATTTCTCACCTGAAATTTGATATATCTATCAGTCTCGGCACCTTGCCTTTGAGAATCACGATCAAGACCATCGCCCACAAGCCCAAGAAGAGCCGAAGTTGGCTCCAACGACAACCCGAACCCGGTTGATACCTTTTGTGCCTGCAAGAATTCTACACAAGATATCTGGGAATTTTTATTATTAGAGTTCTCTAGAAAATCTTGCGATTTCCGGCTCTTTTTCTTGGACTCTAACCTGAAATTCGCTTGTAAATCCAGCTGGTTTTCTTCTTGAACAGGACCAGATGCCAATCCTTCCACTTGGAGTTGGACTAAAACCAAAAAGGATAAAACGAAAATGGGAATTATTAATTTTAATTAATTCTTAGAAATGTAATTAAATTAGTGAAAGAATAGAGAAAATACAAGGAGGCAAAAAGGAAGTGTGATGATCATGAAGATATAGGGTGTTGACTGCAGGTGAAATCTGACTGTCTGTGTTGTTGTATAAATCTCTGCAATGAAATAAATGATAAAATTAATTAATCCTGTAATTGAGAAAATAAACAAAAAAAAAAATTTGAGAAAAACTGCTTTCTTGGACTGTTTCTTTAATGAAGATCACCTGAAGCGTTTGGTTTGTTTTTATTTTTAGTGGTGGTGGTGGTGGTAGTGGTGGAGGTGGAGGTCGGAAAGAAGCCATGGCTGGCTACAGAGCGGTGGTGCGTGTATTTTATGCTGAGGTGGTTCCGGGGAAGAAAATTGCTCACCTGTGAAGTGTTGGAAAAAGAGAAATATAGAATGAGTTAGAGCTGGGCAAATATCTCGAACCGAACCGAATCAAACCCGACGGTTCTTCTCAAGTTAAATACCCGAACGGGTATCTGAATCAAGAACCGACGGATACGGTTCAGTTCTCAGTTTTAGACCAAGAACCAAAGAACCGAATAAGAACCAAATATTTCTAATTTTTTTTTAATATTGAATAAATCAAATTATTTTAATTTTTTCTAAACAAATTAGGTGATTAATTGATACTTTATCTCCTAAGCCCTAGCCTAGCTAGCTTGACCTAACCCAACCAATTTCTAGATCCAATTTTTTGGCTCAATTATTTGTTTCATTTCTAATTTTTTAATTTCTAATTTTTTTATTTTTAGCCCAAGTGCCATTTTTTGTTTTTATTCTTCCATTTTTTAGCCCAACATCCAAGTGATCCAACCCACTAATGACTAACCCTAAATAAATTACACACTTTATCACCTACACATAACACATCTGACATTCCAAAACTCAAATAGATGTATAGAACCTCCGAGTCCGAAGCTATGACCTCCATGCTCCGATGTCGACCTTCGACTGTTGATCATTTGAATAAGGTAGTGTGTAAGCTTCCCTATATGTGATTGGTAAATTAATCTTGTTGGACAACTTTTTATATAAATGATAAATTGGATTACGTTAATTTATAAAATTACGATTGAATGTGTTATTAGTTGTATTTATGTAGTGTTGTTATAAATGTTAAAAAATTTAATTATATTACAGAACTGAACGGAACCGAACCGATCCGAACGGAACCGAACGCGAACAGTTCCATAATTATATTTGGACCCGACGATTCTATTTACTAAATACCCGAAATTTTTGGTTCGTTTCGATTCCCTTTAAAACCGAACCGAACCGAACCGACTCACGCCCAGGCTTAAAATGAGTGGCTTCAGAATTTAAATTAACAGACCTAGGAGGTCCCCCATACTTTAGGAAATATGGCATTTGGGTCCCATTTTTATTTTTTATTTTTACTTTTCTTTTCTTTTTTCGTTTGGGAAACATATTCATCATCAAATGCTGTATTTGCCAAAGTCTTTACAATCATTATTTAAAAACTCTTTTTTCTTATATATTCATTTTCAATCATACATTCACATAATAAAAAATTTTACATGAATTTTACATTTACGTGTAAAATATTTTATTTTATGAATGTGTAATTGAAAATAATTGTCGAATAGGGACAAAGTTTGACAATCATTATTTCAATTCGGTTACCCAATTTTATGTACTCTTGTTTCCATTAACTAGAAATAATTGTTAATGTGACTATTAAAATTTAAATTTTAGCCTTTGTTTAGTTTTACTTAAAATTAAATTTTCAATAAATTTTAATAAAGTTAATGAAATATGTAATTTAAAAATTAATAAAAGTTCCGATTCTCATAAATTGTGCGGTTGAAAATAAATTTTAAAAAAATCGAACCAAACAAGTACATATATTGTTTTGTCTCATTCACTTTGACGTTCAATATGAGAGAAAGAATACGGAGGTTAAGTGGATTAACCAACATTAGAATAATAGCTACATCCGCAATTGCATGCATGATGAAAATTGTTAATTCTTGCAAAAAGAAATCGATGTGAGAGTAACTAAAAATAGAATGGTGTGCAGAGATTATGAAGGGGAAGTGATGGCATAATTGAATCTAATTCTTTGAAATGCCGTTCAGGCAGTGGAGAATTCGCCTCTACATGCTATTGAGGGTGCCATTGTAGCTAGGACATCTGATTTTATATGTTGTTCAGCTTACTTAGTCCTTGTTTATCCCCATGTTTTAAAATTCATTTTCAAGCATATTTTATGGGAATCCACAAACTTTTATTAGCTTTCAACCATAAATCTCATCAATTTTTATCAAAAATTATAAAAATATGATTTTATAGTTGTTTGTCCCCTCTTCAAGTTTGCTATCTCGAGTTCGACTAAAACGATGTGACTTGTAGAGTTCCCAAGTTTCATTGAAGACCTTGTACTCCGAGTGAGATCCAATTCTCACAACCCCTGAAATTTTAAAAATTTGTTTTCGTATAGCGGAAGATTGAACTCTAAAGGATTTTTTGGGCTCAGTTTGAATCCAAAATCGATCGACACCACAGAGAACCAACCCAAAATCACCGACAACTTTACCCACTCCGGTTGCTTTTATTACCTACGAAAGGACGCACAAACCTAGGTATTATTGTAGCCACAAAGGTTGAAGAAAACTGAAGAAAAAGAAGTCGAGGTAGGCAGTAGCACGAAGCAGAAGAGAAGAACGCAGGTAGGTTATCTCTCAAGGGGTTTTGCAATTCACACGGTCAAAAGAGGCTAAGCAATATATATTAGTTAGGGTAGATTTAGGTTAAGTAGTGGGCCAAGCCCAATAAAGTTCAATAGGTAATTAATAAGTGAGCTAGGTACAAAAGCCATCCAAAGAGTTAGGAGTCGGTCCACTAGCAACTATAAATGAATTAGGCTACTTCCAATTACCCATACTTGTTAAAGGTTTGGGTTGTTCCATTTGGGGTGTCGTTATTTCACTTCAATCTTTTGATCGATACAAACTAAGTACTAATGATTTAACATCATTGCCTAGGGAGTTATTGGATATCAAAACCTAACAAATCTCCAGCTTGATGCCTAATAAACCTGCAAGCAATCAAAATACACAATTAGTACTAACATAATCGAGGTAACCAATAAATTTAGGATCACAGAACTTACCTCGTATTTCGTACCTAAGACACATACCATATCTGCTCCATGAACTCACCAGAGCTAAGGTAAAAAACACTCAAGCAGGAGAACAAACAATTAAGAGCAAATAAAGATGCAATAAAGATATAACATAGGATAAATGAGCCCACGAACAACATATTAGCACTAAGTTAATCAACAAACAGCCAACACATATGCAAAAAATGCATAAATGACCCTACAAAAAGATCTCACCATACTTATCATATCCCATTCCGTATTGTTCACAATTCAAAAACACATATCCCCTCTCATTACTCACTAGATGGATCACTCATATGATGTTTAACTGGTAAATCACAATAGATCCTAAGTCCTCGGTATAATCCTCTATCAACACAATACTTCTCCCAACCTTAGTGGATTATGGGTCTCTACCTAATAGAAGTGATAGAAGTGTCTCTCTCACACTCCACCTAATCAGAGTCTTTCACAGATAAAGGATCCCAACATTTAATCACTTCTCCACTCGTGATCCAAATGTCACACTCCACGTCCCTATTACATACTATCAATGTACCCCTGGGCATCTATACTTCACATCACCAATAGATACACAACACACTTACAGCTAATGCATGCCAACCCATTATGCATGCAGTCAATTACATTAAGTAATCAAATAGCTCTCAAATTCATGCAAATGTACATATCAAACACATTTAAATGCAATAAAATTAAGCAATCACACACATGCAGAAATGATTATATATAGATGCACATTTAGTAACTAGGTTTACTCTCAGTAAACCTTACTGGGGTCATCACTTGACCCTATAGCCACATTTGCCTCACCTTTTGCTTACCCTTCTACTTTGGACGGTCTCTAATAAAGTACTTAGCTTTACGACAACTGTAACACCATCTACTACTGGACTTTCCCAACCCTTGCCCTTCTTATTACCACCCTCGTCACTTGAGTCACTATTCAAATTACTACTATCTTAAGTCTTGCCTAAACTCATTTGCTTAAACTTCATTCTACTCCTTATCATATGTATCTCACTACCCACTTATCTTCATTTTCAGTCTTAATTTTCACCTCCTTACTCTTAAGGGAATATATGACAATTTTGTGTGTTAAGGTATCCAGACCATACTTAATCGCATTCTTAGCCTCCCTGTATAAGTTAGGCATGGAATTCATAAAAATAATGGCCTTATATGTTTCAAACATCATCTCATCATAGTTAACAATATCTTGAGCAAGTTTGTTAAAAATATCTAAGTTGCATCAGATCCTTTGAAGGATCTATTATAAAATTGAAAAATCTTTCGAGTAGATACAACTTATTTGGAGTAACTTAAACAAAATAAGTCTTCCAACTATTTTCAAAGTTCTTTGTGGTATTAAGTCTACAACTTTTTTCAAAATTGCATCTAACAGAGGTAATATAATTGAAGTGTAAGCAAGCTCATCGACTTCTTCTTTTTTATTCTTTTGAAAAATTAGTAGAAAAACTACCATCAATGCCATTTGAAACTTTTTGTTGGATCAAAATATCTCTCATCTTTTGTCATCATATTGAAAAATCACATTTTCCGTTAAAAATTTTCAGATCAAAATTGTGAGTTGTCATTTTTATGAATCAATAAATAATACACTGAATCACAATTAAGCCACACAGGTTACACTATTCTAGATTCCCTGTGTTTCGTAAGATTCACAATCTTAATTCAAACGAGTAAGATCTATATATTCTAATGGAATTAATGATGCAACAAAGACATATGTCAACCAAACAATTTCACACACAGTATATCACAAAGATAATAAACTGATTTTTATCAGAATAAATACATTAATCACCTAAGAGAAAGTAATTCTTAACTTCTAGCACAAGCAATGGTTATCCCTACTTGATAACCACAATCCTATTATCACCCTACACGATGACGCATTAATGCTGAAATTTAATCGGGATAAGCCAATTTATCAAAGCGAACCACATTTGAAGGTCCATAAAATCAAGAGATGCGAATATGCTACTTTAA